TATAGAAGCTCTTTAGTGACAAAACCTCTATATGTATCCAAAGCAGATTTAAAGCTGCAGTGATCCATACTTTTTATTGACTATGGGTTAAATGGCTATGTGTTATGTGAACTGAATTATCACCTGAGTTTGCAAGTTCCCTCATCTCTACAAACTGATTTGGTTTAGTCTCACCACTCTCATCAACCTTGTTTGTAGCCGCAGTAGGCAGCTATTTTCAGCAAAAACGCTCTAACTATCCAGAACCAAATACAAGATAAGGCTGGCCTCTAGCTGGTGAACATAATGGAACATTTAGTGACAAAAATGCAGATATTTCTCTCAAGAGTTGGTGGAGGCCTAACCAGAGCGTAAATAAGAGCAAATATTGGATTTACATTTATTGAGTGGCCAGAAACATGACTCCAAATGAATGCTAATGTTGCTCTATGTTTGCTGGATGTGTGTATAGGCAACTGTTTTCTAAAACGTTTGCCATATCAAATTTAAAGGGTGTTAATATGTCAGTGTTGTGTTTACAGCTTATTCTGTTGCCCCTAGGTGCACTTGCACAATACAAAAGCTGATGGATCCACAGCCTGGCATTATGTAGAAGGCGGGGTCTAACAGAGTGGTAACTTAATTCACTTAATTCTGTGTCAATTTCAACGCAGTTTGCATTTCTCTCTGTTGGTGTAAACCAAGTATTGGGCAAGTAACAAAGAAATGAAAGAAAAAAATTTAATATATATAATTAGTTACTGTTACTAGTTATCTCTCTCAAAATTAATTGATTGATTGATTTAGCAATTACTGCATCTAAAAGTAATTAGTTACTAGATAAAGGAACTTTACCTTACATTACAATACTAGTGACCCAAAGTAGTGGAATTACAGTAACGTGTTACTTTATAACTTCCAGCACTGGTGTTAACATACAAAAAGTGAGAGAATGCACATAGACAGTAGCAAGAAAGGTCCTCCAATATTATTCTTCTGCTCAATAGTTTTGTCATTAATAAACTTCCATACATCACAGCAGTTGCTATAGGAGAGCAGAGAACTTCTTGTTGGCTTTTAATGCGGAGCTATCCAGTTTGTGATGTTCATAAATTGTATCCTTCTTGTCTTTTCAACCTTGTGCTGTTACTTGTTGTGTTCACCTATTAAGAAACAGCATATTTACAGAAGACCTGAACAAGATAGCAGGTAGGGGTTGAGTGTGTAGCCCTGGGCCACTGCAACACGACAGATGGCTGTTGCTGGGATCGAATCTGTTACTGTTTGGTTCCAGGGTGTTCTCCTCAAGCACCAGACCACCCTGCCACCCAGTTCAGATTGTACTTTGTTGGAGGCCATTTTCTAAAGCAGATGGGAGGTGGTTGTAATTTCATAGGCTTGCTGGTAGATCTGCCTGAACAATTTGTTCTGATAGCATCCTGCTCATTTCCTTTGTGCTTATCAGGTATTCATCAAGTCATGCAATGGCTAATTTATTTAGAAAGCTCTTTAAGAAAACAGGATTGGTCTAAAATACTGTACAGAGAACAAATAAGACAGATAATAGAGAAGAGACAGAAATAAGTGAGCCAGACTTTCGTTCTAATCATGTTGTCAAGAAACTCACACCCCCTTTTATTTCCTTTCTTCTGTGTAATATTAATTTTGACAAAGTGGCGATTTAAAATTATTGTACTGTCTGACTCATTGTAAGTCTGGACGAGAGTTCCTACTTGAATGCCTGAAACTTGAAATATTAGCATCACCATTACTTTTCCAGTTATGTTGATTTTATTTTTGTACCATTTTATTTGTGCATCCTCCAAGGATGTGGGAATAACAGGACAGAGATTGAATGCTCCTCTGTATTATCATAGCATCTTTGTTATTCATATCCATCTTTTCACAACAGTCTAATCCACATGCATATTCAATGTGCCGTGGACAATCAGAGGTTTTGAGCAGACAACGTGCTCAGGTCCGCAGGGAGGTGTTGCCTGGTTCCTCTGTGCTGTTTGTTGACAGCAGCTTGATGAAAATGTGGAATGTGCTAAATTATATCACAGAGCATAAAGGGGTGCTGCAAATGAAAACATTTTGTGCTCACATAAATGATGATTCTTTTTTTTCACATCACAATATTGCATCAGTATCTTAATATGGTATACAATATTGTTGAAATGATGTCCTGTTTGATGCAAGCCAGTCATCTTGCCTCGTGTATTTAATTACTGTAGTTGCCAAATGACTTTCCCAACGAGGACAAAAACTGTATAAAACTGTCAAACTATTTCAGTACATCACATTAGCCTGAAAACAACTGCTAAGACCTGAACAAGGTTCAGTGTACATTAGCTCTCTAAATATAATAGGAAACTGCTCAGCTGTTTCTTATTTAGTAATCATTTTGTGACTAGAGAAAAACTATAATTATAATTTTGTTTTCCATAGTACTACATTCATAAACATTTATGTGACTTAAGGAAGAATATGCTGTTGCTACTGCAGCAGTCGACTAGGTGCTCAGGTAACAAAAGTAGTTAAGTTGTTGTTCATACCTGCCTTCAGTTTGATTTTTTTTAAATTTTTCTTTCAGGTCTGTCTTGCCCTTTATTGAAAAACTATAAAATCCCTCCAGGGGTAAATATAACCGCTCTTTGGTCCTAGGATCTGGGACTGAAAAGTTCCTCAGGATTGGAATTAAGCTGTCTGGATGTTTAATTTCACAAGCTTCCATCCAAGCGAGTTGACTGAGGATTTTTGCATTAGAGACTATTTTTTATTTTTAGTTATTCAATTAAAGAGATTTGAGGCCGGCCAAATCTGATTTTAGTCCTCATTGGATAACTGAAGTACAGCCATATTGTGGTGTTTGTATATGCTGTATGTTTGCCAAAATGTGTTGGTTGAATGAAATGCAGAGTCTTCCAGTAAGTGTGATTGCTATTTCTGCTATTTTGTTCTTTTATGTGATTTGAGCCTGAATTAATCCACGTGTGACGTGTGTACAAACCTTTCATTTACCTATAGGAAATTAGGAATTTGGTCCAGGTACATGATTTATTTAAACAAATATATATTTAATTCACATATAATGTTAATAATAAAGACATATGCTACAGAGCAGTATAAACATATGTTCAGAAACACAATTAGATTTTTTTTTATTGTTAGTCATTAATTTTGTAATTCAAAACTACGTCCAAGGGTTACAGTTACTTTGTTAGAATTGCTCCAAAATTATTTTGATCTATCACTTCACCTATTATTGAAGGCATGGGCAGTGAAAGTTTAAGTGTATTGATGGATATTTATTACAGATGACTTCTCTTCTTGAGGTGTTATGTGAACTGTCTTCAACTAATTCAGCTGGGAAATTTCTTTGCCTGCAAGGAAATGCTCAAAAAAACACTATAACCTAAATCATTTTGGACTTTTACTTTTTTAAATTTTTGCTCAATATAACCTTGGCCACATTGCCCCTCTTTTGGGAAGACTCCAACCTTATAGCACATGAGACCCCAGTGTGTGGATTTAATTTCCTTCGAGCCTGCCCTCTCCCCCCGTCGCTGGGGCAACACAGCGGGCCTGTGAATAAGCAAAGCCTTGTGAGGGGAATCCGTCATGTCTGCTTGCAGGTCACATTAATGACTCAGCTCCCTGCCTTTAGAATCAGCTGCTTTCAGTTCAACATTAATCTTAACATCAGCCATGTTACTCTGTCGGCATGAAGCAGCTGACACGCATTTTATAATGCTTTCACACAAAAACAAAAAAAAAATCAGATTGTAGACACATTCTAGCTAGATACTGAAAATGTGTAAATGCATCCAGCTTTACTGTGAAAGTAGCCTCTACACAGTCTGCCACGTGTGATAATCAGTGACACTGAAATTACACTGAAATTAGCTGCTCTTCTCCTTGTCTCATTAAAATGACAGGAAAAAATGGCTGGAGTAATTTCGAACATTCAATCTCACAGAAGAGGAGCTGCTGTAAGTCATCTGATCTCTGATCAGTTTGACCATGGAATGGGCTTTTTGTGTGAGAGAGCAATATGAAAGAGAGCCTCGTTCCTACTTCATAAAAGCAAATCATCCATGTTTGTGTTAATTTATGGGTAGTGGTCAGCTAGCTAGCTGCTATTGCTAACTGACAATTGCTGTGACTAAACTGCTAAATTGCTCAAGTTATGCTTCTTCTGGCATTTTTTGCAGTTACCACACAGCTTCTTACCACCACCTTCTGGACTGGAGTAGAGCTGCCACTGATTTTTATTTGGCCGGAAGACAGATTGCAGCCATATATATATATGTATATATATATATATATGGTTATGAGACACAATGACAAGTGTAAATGTCTAAATAGGACCAACATTGGTGGCAACGTTGTGTCCTGGAAACAGCAGTAAACAGGCTATGTTTTTGGCAAAATGATCATGCAAGCGAATGCTGATCAGAATAGTGGTAAACTAGTGTGAAAGCAGACAAGTGTAGGTGGACAGCCGAATATGGTTTGAACTATAAAGCCAAAGTAAGAAAAACAACCTCAGTCACTGCTTTACCTGCACAAATCAGATTTTGTTTTGTTCAGATCTCTGCTCAATTTATGATCAGAATTGCTGTTATTCTGGATGTGGCCAGAATTCATTTAGTGGGAAAACATCCTGAAAAAGCATCACTCTTACTGTTAACTGCTCCCACCTGCCAGCCTTCATGAAAAAATTGGCAACCCAGTAGCCAACAATAAAGTAATGCTCGGTGGGATTCCACCAGTGCTGGTTACAGACCTGAATCCTCCTCTCCACCAAAGCAGGTGATGCACCCCAGAGCGCTGCGCTCAAATAAACAGAATGTCTCAGATGCTGCCTCATCATTGTACACCAGATGCACAAGAGCCAAAAGATATGCTACAGGAGCACAAGTTTTGCCAAAACCAATTGCAAGAATGTTGTAGAATGTTTCTGCTGTTGTCACAAAATACAAAGTGTTATCTGATCCCAGAACTCACACTGAAAGATGAAGATGAAATGTGAGTGCAGTTCAAATGTAAGGCTTTGGCTGCAAGACTGTACTATGTGCATGTATGTGGATGGTATATATTTTTGTGTCCCTATGTCTAAACCATATGTGTACATGCAGGTTTGCTGTAGGAAACAGCCAATCAGCTGCCATGCTGCCATTTAAAAAACCTTGGTGTGTCTCGCTGATTGTTGTGTTGGCATTGATTTGAAATTTGACATTTAGGATAAAGTTCCCTTTAGCGTTCAATCATATTTCCCTCTTTCCAAAACAAAGCAATAAAGCCATTGCCATGTACTCTGCTACATCTCCTCATTTCCCCAGCTTAATTGAAACCGGTGTGCCCTATGTGTGTTGTCTATTTCATTTCCAAACCATAACAAACAAATAATTTACAAATGCTCTTTTTCCTAAAGCTAATTTGAAGGCGCCAGCTTCACGTCTTTTATCCCACCACATAGAAAGAGTTTCCCCTGGGAGTCTAGTGATAGCATTAACAGAAGTAAAGTCATCTGGACTATTTATTTGGTCCCCCTTCACACTTCCCCTCACATAGATTAAGCTTCAGAAGCTGCCTCTTGGCAATTAAATCTATCAGAGGGCAGCAGAGAGCGCTCTGTCAGAACTGTTCCAATAATTGCAATTTAAATGAATATGGATTCAAAAACTTTGACTACACACAGCCAGTTATTTTGCAACTTGGGACTAAAAAAAAAAGTTTTCTCCTGTCATATCTCCTGGTTTGTTTTCCTTTCTCCTCAGATGAACAAGAACCTCTTATTTACCATTCTCTTTCTTTCTGTTTACAGACACATAGAGAACTGGACAGGGTTGCAGACTCTGAGAGACGTCGATATGGAGCTCTACACTGGACTACAGAGACTGTGAGTGTTGATGCTGCTGTTATCTGGAGAGGAGTGAGGGGAGATGAGTGAAAGGCACTTCACTTTATTTTAGTCCAACTGTCAAGGGCATGCATAAGACTAAAGTTGCCCGACCAATAGCCAGTTTGCCCTCTTTGGGCTAAGCTGCCCCACTGGAGAAAAAAAAAAATTGTATTGTTGCTGTTGTGGCAGCATAAATACAATCAGCCCATAATTACTAAAGTTAGACCAAATTAAATCGCCATATGATCCCAACTTTTATAACTGTTAGCCTCCTTGCGTGATGTTCCCTGTCATGTGACACTGTAGAATCTGTAAGTACATGGCAACCAAACTTATTGTTGATGACTTGTGAAGGCTCTTGGTGAGCGTTAGAAAGTTGTGGAAATTATTAACGATGAATGGTAGAATCAATGGGATGCCTTGTGAATAAAAATATGCATCTAGGCTTCTAAATAATGCGCAACCAGTCAATTTTTTTTTAGTATAGTAACAGATGATCTCAAGACACTTTTCAAATAGAGTAGGTCTAGACTGTACTCCTTATGAAATTATTTACAGAGACCCAACAGGTCCCACCATGAGCAAGCACTTGGCAACAGTGGCAAGGAAAAACTGCCCTTTTAACAGGCAGAAACCTCGAGCAGACCCAGGCTCTAGGTGGGCGGCCATCTGCCTTGACCGGTTTGGGTTGAAGAGAGTCAGTAATAATATTGCCTTATATTATGCAATCACATGAACCAAACTTAACTTAGTTAACAGGGTTAGGGGTATGGGTTAGGGTTATCTTTTTCAGGTTAAAACAACAGCCCCTCAAAATGTGCATGTCCCTGCCTACTGTGTTGCAAGTCTGGAAAACCACAGTGGAACCTGTACTGCTGTTAATCCCTGTTTTCCATCATGTTGCCCACCTGCTCACTGTAGAGCGGCCAGTGATTTCCTCCCAGAGATGAGAGCAGTAATTCAGCTCAGAGCACAAGTGGCTGCATCACCGCATCGGGATTTAATGTCCGATACTTCTCTGAATGTGACACAATCCCGGCTAATTCTCAGAGGAGATGACAAGGTGTTAGTCGGGGTGTGTGTTTCTGATCCTAACACAAGCTGATGTTTAAACAAGCTTTTAATTCTCGACAGTCACACGCCGGTGGAACATCCCCTTCGCTTTGCTAAGCCACTGATCAAATAATGCTAAAAAGCAGCAGGGAAAATTGAATTAGGGGCCCCTGCTGTTGTGTTGTGATTTTTTTCCCTTTTTTTAATTTTCATCTTTTCACTTCTTAAAGCAATGTTACGCTCCTTTCTTGCTTTTGCTACCCCGCACCATGAGGCCACATCCTTTACATTCCTCTTGCCCCACTACTCCTTCCTCATTCACTGTCTCCCGACCTCTTCTTCCTCTTCATTTTTTCTCTCTCTGCAGAGAACCGTATTCTCTTTTGCCCTCCAAAGTCAGAGCTGGCCTCTCCCCTGATCCCCTTGATCCCTCATCAGGGAGGCCAAGTGCAATATCTCCACCACTAAATTAGCATTTTTCTCATTACCACTGCCTCTCTCCTGCTGCCTTGTCTGGGGACGCTGGCTCCTCCCCGGCTGGAGGAGTCGGGCCTTTCCAGGGAAGGCTGTTACCTTGTGGGGCTGTTAGCAGTATGGCGGGATGAGTGAGAAGAAGTTACTCTAGGATATTTTACATCAATTAATTTACATTTGACCTTATTCATCTTTACTTGAACAAAATGAAAAAATATGCAATAATTAACTGAAATAAACACTGACCTATTAAATCTGTTATATAACTGTACTGTACATCTCCAGAATAGGGCACTAACTTCATTCTTCAGTGGTTTATTATTATATTCTATGAGGAGCACAATAGTTTATCCTCATCTTTCTACAAGTGTGAAATAATTACTGTTGCTTCTCTGCTCATATTTTCGAGTCTACTTATCATTAATCAAATAACAGATTTTTGGATTAAACAGACTACTGACTTAGATTTTGGTTAGAGCTGTCATTAGCAATCTAACTAAAAGAAATCTGTTATAACATACACAATAGTTTCATGCTATTTACTGTATTCACTGTATTCAGTTATCTTCAAATGCAAGGCTTCAATGTTATTGTTATTTTTTTATTTTATTGTCAATTGTCAATCCTCCTAAATCTTTAAAAACAGGTCACAAATGTTTACTTTTATTTTTAAACAAGGCTAAATCATTTTCTTAAACAGCTGGCCACTGTAGTTTCTGGAAAACATTAATCAAACAGTAGTAAATTGTGCATTTGTTTGGGACTATTTTCAGCTGAGGATTAATACACATTTGGTGTACTAGCACAATGCAACACTGTGGCTCATGGTCTGGTCTGGTTTGAAAAGATGAATAAGAGGAATAGAGAAATAACGCTTCGGCTACACAGGAGATACTTGTTAATAATATCAATTCAGTGCCACGTTTGTCTCTTGATGGATTTTGATAAAAAAAAACATTATTTTATTTTGGTGCATCACAACAATATGTGCTGAAATTTCGACTATATACTTTATAGTACTATTTTTATTAGGACAGACAGTGTATCAGATTTTTCAAGGTATTTCAAAAGTACAATATAAGTATAAAATGTTTTGGTGAAGTGCTGTGGCCTTTCAGTTGGTTATTTGTGTGGTTCAGAAAACTAAATAATCACACAAAGATCAGAAAATCCTTCAGTCGAATGTCCGGCTTCCAACACTTTAAAACTTGTTTAGGACCTTACATTAAATGCAGCAAACATCAAATCACTGCTGTTTACGGAGATGATTATGTTCAACATAATTGTCATTACTGTTGTCATCACTGCTGGGAGGATAATAACCAAAGCTCAACAGTCATCCTTGTACATTGTTGTGCTCTTTTCTAGGGAGTGAAATAAAAGTTATTATTGTTTATTAATTTTTCTGGGGAACCCATCAGAAGGTTCCCGAAGGCCCCACAAAACTTCTCAAGGATACTTGGAGACCCACTTTAGGAACTTTTGGGTGATGAAAAGCCACATCCCAGTCAAATGCCACAGAGGCGTGATCAGACTTCTGGAAGGTAATTGGCATCAACAGCTGGATATAATCAGCACGCTGTGTTATGAGGCGCTCACTGATGATGTCAATGGCTTCTTTGGAGAGAGACATCTGTGATTACAAGATTAGAAGTCATTACCATTGTAGCCCATAACAGTGTTTCCCAAACTGGGGCACTGGGAATTCCAGGACTCCTTGAGAGGATTCCACAGGGTCTCCAGCAAAACGAGGATTAGTTTAATTTCACAGTTTTTTTCACTTACAAGTTAACACAATGAGGAAAAGTGTTCTACTGCTTGCTCTAATCAGAGGTTTCACTGGCTTTACAGTAAAGACACACAAGCTCACAAATCTTTCATCGAATGGTGGTTCAAAGTGAATTTCTATTTCAGTGCCAGGTCCGCAGGGTGTACAAAATAATTGTAATAGACAAGGAACTATTCTGATTTGTTACAGTGGACTGCTGCGGCAGGGCCTGAAAAATGTCTTGAAATACATATTAGGTATCACAGTAAAGAAAGAATAATGCAGTACATTATTGTTTCTTTACTGTGATACCACAATTTTTCTTTTTATATACAGTATCATTCAAATGGCAAAATAATTTCAAACTGGAAAAGACAAAAATAAATAAATCTGAGGCTTCTACAAAACAGACCAAAGCAGGGGGGAAAAATCCACATGAGGATCGAAGAGGCACAAGCAGAATAAGGAAGAATGAGGAAAATGGCCTTGATGCAGTTACATGATCAGAACACTGTGTGTATGGTTTGTATGTGCCCACACTAGGAAGAAAAGAAATGTCTTTGTTCATGTGGTTTCTTCACAGTTCATCTGTATTTTATCATTTCAGAACTATCATGAATTGCAACCTGAGGGTGATCCAGGCTCGAGCATTTGCTCAGAATCCACACCTACGCTACATGTGAGTAAATATTCTATCTTTGACAACCATGTTTCCCGTGTCTTCAGAAGATTTATTGTGATCTATAATGCTTGACAGCTTGTAGTATACGGCTAAACATGAGTTAGTGTTAGGCAAAAGATGATGCAGTTGATAGAGACTGACTTCGGGAAAATTGTGGCACTGCCATTACTGTCGCAACTGCCGCACATCTTAAATGAGACATCCATTATTTGCCTTGGATAATTGGATTCCTATCTGCCCCGGCTCTTTGTGCTTCGGAAGAGCAACATGCCAAAGACGCAGTTCCATTTAGTCTGCACTCTCCAAATGGACAATTTGTGCAGGAGGCCGAGCATCAGAGAGCTGGGCAAAGAACAAGGTAATTTCTTTAACAAAGGCTGATGTGTCACCCCGTATGACAGCCTGTTATTCCCCAATTTTCCAGGAGTAAACCCGGGGAGTAACTCAGTCACAGTCTTTACCTGAACACATTGCCATTTGCAATTTCCAGTTGTCAGCTGAGAGGCAGTTTGGTCTCTCTTTTCCTCTGTGGATTACTGCTGTTAGGCTTGAATCTGTGCACCTTGCACTGCGTGTGTGGGAGTGAGAGTAGCAGCAAGCAGTAGTTTATAATGTGGTTGCTAAAATAAATTCAGTATTTATCATTTGAAAACTTAATCTTGTCTGTTAGCGAGACAGAAAAGACTAGTCTGGTTATCAAATTTATCCTGTATATGAGCTGACTGAGAGTGTGAGTACATCTCTGGGTGCACACACTGTGGTGTGCATGCATGTAGACTTATTTAAGAAAATTGGTTGTCTCTTTAGGTGATTGGTAGAGCTAATCGAGCTCATCAACATTTAATGAAAGTTATTTAAATCCCCCCCTTCCCTTTAATTTTCTCTCCAGAACATATATTTTCTTACTGAAACCAAATAACTGATTGTTATCTTTTCACCTCTTCCTCCTTTCCCCTTACTATACATAATTGCTATGCAGTGGTAGATCCAAAATGTATGTATAAGATATAAGAAAAGATTGGGTGAGTAGGTGATGATGCTTTTTCCCCCTTTGTTCTCACCTATGGTGTAACAGTTAATAAGAGTGTGGAATTCAGACCCTCAATTAGCAGACATTATAATGCAAACAATGACAGCTAAAGCCAAAAATAAAATCTTTCCAGAAGTGTTAATTTTTGCTCCCTTTAAACATCCCATACTATATATTTTGAAATTCTCATTAAATTCAGACTGAAAATGCTGTCCTACAAATAGAACAGAAAGTGAGTTTCAGTGGATTTCAACACAGAGGCATTTGCATTGTAATCAGTGAAAGCCCCACCCCAGACAGCCCATGACAGGCCTCTTTTGTGGTCTTGCTAATGCAGATGGATGGTTGCTAGGTGACACTGAGGATGATGATGTCAAAGAAGATTAATTATTATGCCTAAGCTTAGCCTCAGAAGGCCGACCTCATTGATGTCTGTGTCAGACAGGTCTGCTCAGAGCCATCAGACGCTCAACTGGTTGCTCCTTTGTGAGGAGAATTGAAGCTTTGCATCACATATTCAGGCAAAAACGGGCTAAATCTCTCACGCTGAAGACATCATTGATCCCATGTGCTGTAAACCTTATAACCATAATTAACATTCACCCCTGTTACACTCTCGTTTCAATTAATATTCTTCCTCTCTGTGTTTTAATACATGTATCATCCATTATTTTGTATGTATATGTGTTACATAACTTGACTTGACAACTGACGGTTTGCTGAATGCCTCCTCCAAACAGTGATTGTCTAATCATAGAAACTTCAGGCACAGCAGGCCTGTCAAACTTTGGATGTCTGTCTCAGCATGTTGAAGCAGTGCGCATGGGGCTATAGTGAGAGTGATACTCTAAAGAGTTTGGATGGTGGTTTATTTCTTTTATAATACCATATACCAAATATTCTAGAGCAAAAGTATGTGATTACACAGTGTGTCTGCGCTAAACAAACATTAGTATGCCCAGCTAACTTGCTACAGTAGTAACAGAGTGTTAGAGAGAGCCTACGTCAAAGGCCAACAGCATTTCATTCTACATTATTTTGTTGGGTTTCAAGTTACGTTAAAAGAGCTTTGTCTTATGCAAGCAGCAACCTCTGTGGCTGGCAAATGAAGCCAGCAGGGAAGTAACCAAAACTGCAGTTCCTCGAACAGTCTCCACAAGGACCCATATTAAAACAATTTCAGTCTCTATAGTTAATATTCCCTGCTCTGCATGGGGGATGAATTGTTATATAACTTACCCGTTTAAATTATATTAAGCCAAACTTGTTATCCGAGATACTGTTACGTTCGCCAAACAAATCAGTTAGTCACTCATTACTACACATTAGTCATCCTAAGAGCCTTTTCACTTGTAACCTTAAAACTTGAATCATACTGTTGTATGTCGTATACCTCTAGCCTTTTCAAGCTAATCAGCTAAAATATGCTTTGTTATAATGAAGATTTTGATTTTTTTTCTTAATATCTAAAAATACTTGAACTAACTAGCTCTACACCACAATACAAAAACAACAGTTTCTTTATTTCTATCTTTTCAATGTTTAGCTTTAGCCTTTAACGTAATAACTCTCTGTACTTCCTGTTTACACTGCATTGTGTCAATCTGCTGCTTCTGTCTGACATCTTAGCAAATAACTGTGTTGTTTTATAAAGTACTGCATAAAAGACTGACAAAGCTGGAAGAAAATTAGACTTTTTTACTACAGCAGTCTGACAAACATTGACTGCTACTTACATAGTGGTGCTAATTAGATCAGTTCTCCCACACAGCTCTGCCATCAGCTAGACATCTTACTGTTACAATTCAGTAATGGTGGTTGGTCAGAAGTGTTGTTTGTTTGTTTAATTACCTGTTTATAATAATATGATATCATAACAGAAGTTTGATTAGGATAGTTAAATGTGTCAATACAATATTTCTTCAACAAACACTCATCTGGTTATAGTTACTGTATACCATTACATACAGTCCAGTTTTCTATTTTTTAAAATGTATAGCAGACCATGACTTTTTACTTGCATTTACTACAGCCAGCGATAGTGACTGGAAGTTAAAGGTCCAGTGTGTAACATTTAGGAAAATCTATTGGGAGAAATTGACTATAATATGCACATCTATATTTTCACAAGTGTATAATCACCTGAATATAGGAGTCATTAAGTTTTTTTTACCTTAAAATTAGCTGTTTCTATCTACAGACACCACGGGTTGCCTTTCATGGAGTCCACTGTGTAGATAGATAAACAGGCGTTTGCGCCTCTCATGGCCACCTTTAAGCTTGGAAGGGGAGGGTGAAGTGAGGGACTTATGAAGGATGATCTGCAACAACACCACCAGATGCCACTAAATCCTTCACACTGGTCCATTAAGAGAGAAAAACTGAAAATAGAATAAAATGCCCCAGTCAATAAGGTGACAACCCAATAATTCAACCAAAACCAAGGAAAGCTTTTACATGAGCTATTCAGAAACTAGTGTTATAAAGCTGTTGGCTATAAAACACACCACTGACAGTCAGCCTAACAGGTGTATAAACAAACAAACAAACAATGTATAGTACAGCATATTGTGAATAGAAATTCACTAGAAATTAACTCAGCTACATTCAATGTGTGTGATTAACTCTCCAGCATTAAATCTGTGCAAGATACACTCATGACACAAATATTTGAGCAACACTGTGAATTAATGTTCTTGCAAGATGCGAATAGGAACCCAACAATTTGTTATATTTACTTTTTAAACACCTAGATTATGCTTTCCTGCTGTGAATGATTTACAATTAGTGTTACAAACTGAGATTCCAAGACCACAGTTACTGCAAGCAGCCAGTGGGGATTGGGATCAGAGGTCACTGCACCCACACAATAAACACAACAGAGATGGGTAAGTAACACAAGTAATAAGGGAAATAACAGTTATATTATCTTCTTCCATTTACGCACTAAAAACACAGAAACGATTGTACATTGTCTGTGTCCCATTATATGAGTAAATTACATATGACATTTTGTTGGCATGTGGCCAACAGGTAAAAAAGTTTGTGCGCTCCAATCCATTCATGACAGGTGTTATTATTCCTTACATAAAATGCAAAGACATATATTAGAATGGGAGAGACATTTTGGCCTGATAGGGTCAGGAAAATGAGTTTGCAAACTTAACCCATGAGTGAAAATGATTAGCCGAAGTTTGCAACTAAGTCATTTAATTAATATTAAGATGAAAACTTTCTCTAGTCAAGCATTTCAGAAATGTTTCTATGGGATATCTATGTGTTTAAAAGGCCACTCATCAAGCAAACATATTACCATGCTTGTCTCACTGGCACAAGTGACTCAGCAGCAAATCCCATCTCACCAATTGCTGTGGCTGTGGAAACTGATGAAACAGCCTTGAACCTCTTAAGTACCATAAAGGGACATTAAAGGGACAATCAGTAATATTCTGTTTGCAGAGAATGACCATACTTAGTGCCAGTACATCTACAGTTACGTCATTGGCCACTGAGAGATGTCAGTGGTTGTAAACAAGCAGTATTGTCTGTACTCTATATTTTATTTTATGCATGTCCAATCTCTGCTCCCTGGACTACCCGAACACTTTGCTATTTGCATTTGTGGAAGAAGCTACCAGACAACAAGGGAGAATGGTTCTCTTGGCAGTTTCACAACTTAATTTCACACCACAAAACAAAATAAAATAAGTTTGCTGTTTTCTAGTAATAGCTCATTGTTATCTCCAGGCATCATGGCAACAGGGTGGTTAGACAACAGATTTGTTAGACTGGAGGGATGTGACATGGTTACCAGTGTTGTAGTTTCTACTTTCTGCCATTCCATTGAACTAGAAAGTATGTTTTAGTTGGTGCGGTAAATATAATGTGATATGTACTTAGGTTTACAGAGCTGTGTTCTGTTTATTTTATTCAAAGAACCAACAAATGAAGAAGCGTTCTGTAGACA